AAGTACACTTGAAAAGAAAACATGTTAGAGATGTAATTATGTTTCTAAATGATGCTAAGTTTTATAGTGTCACATTAGAAAAAAATATGCAATATGAAGACGACGAAAAAGGAAGTTTTTTTTGGCTAAATACATTTAATAATCATTTGTTAATATACCAGATTAGGCAATTTAATAATAAACATTTCATCAATGACCATATCTTGATAGTTGAAAAATCTATAATTAATTAAGAAGGCTGAATCGTTAATATTGTAAGGAATTTAAATATTATTTTAGTAAACATAGTGAGTTTGTTGTTAATGGTTGAGTAATGTATCGTATTTATAAGACCAGATCAAAGTATAAGCCTCGATCGAAGCTATTTCTAGTTTGATCTCAGTCGAGTTCCACCGTTGTTTTTAGAAGCTCGAGATGCTTTGACTGAATTATGAGGATATCTGCTTTGAAAGGTTTGAAAATATATCAATGATACAAATGCTTGTTTAATTATGTTATTATTTTAAAAAATAAAATAAAAAACGCCTGTCGTTTGCCTGTATTATCTTCAGTATATGATGGATATATAATGTTTTAAGGACTGATACAATACCAACAAGGAATATTCGACCTTTGACCAGAAAATTGACATAAGCATAGCCTTTCCTAATCATACGAAGTATCCTACGAAGGATTAATTAATTTTATTTCTTACGTCAACCAATTTAAAATTTTCTAAAAGTATATATTCAAAATAAAAAGTTTGAATTTAGTAAATGTTATTTTTATTAGTTAAATAAACAAAATTTAATAACAATTAATTCCGTATGATTCACATTTCGACTTGGATAATGTCCTCAACGTTATGTATATTTATTTATTTATTATAATAAAAAAAAACACACATATAAACTAGCTTTGCATTTTATCCATCATTTTTGAATCCCGATGAACAGAGTGGATACAAAGGGAAAAAAATCAAAAAATATAAGTAATAATAATTTGAAACAATGTCATGCAGGCTATATAAAAAAAATAAATTATAAAAAAGAAGAAATGGAATAAAAATAATTTCTTACCGGGGTTTTAAAGAGACAGAATATTCTGTATTGTACTAAACTATAACCTCCTCCTGCTCCGAAAGCACAATGGTGATAACAAGTATTTAAGACCAGCATGGAGATAAACCTTCATAGAAGTCGGGTTTTTTAAATTTAATTTTATTTATTTATTTTACATAAAAATATTTATAATTTTCTTTTAACTAAACGCTAAACTGAATACTATGCTGAATAATTATAATGTAGCAGGATTAATTTCGATTTGGAGAGGGATTAAAAAAATATGAGTAATAAATATGGGATTAATCAGGTAAAACATAGTACCGGATAATTGTATTTAAAAACAAAATCTCGAAATTTAAAAGGAGTAAATTTCCTTTTTGATTTAGTAACATTTAAATAAAAATACTAAAATAAAAAATATATATTTTTTTTAAATTGTATTTTTAAAGTTTCATCATTTTGTACAAGTTTGTTTTCCTCATTTCACCGACTATAAAACTACCGATTTTCGTCCTTATGGAGTCGAATTTCTAACCGATTGTGTTTGATGTTTGATAAAATTTTGCTTTCAGAAATTGATTTCTGATTGATTCTTATTTCAGGCAATCATAAAATTTCAAAAGTTTGATAAAATTGTTCTTGTTATATATTAATAATTGAAATTTCCAATTTCCTTGTTAATATATTTTGAAATATATCCATTTTTTCATTTGTTTTTTGTCTTTGTTGTCTGAGGAATTTGTTAAAGCCAAAACAAAGAATTATTTCATTTTTTTTTTCCGAAACCATAAATATAAATCATTTTTCTTTAGTAAAACTTTATAATTCTAATAACTATAAGACAGAAAAATATTTGATTTATAATATGAGTTGAAAAAAAAATAATCCTGGACCGGATTAAGCTGACAGTGGCTCTGTCTTTGATTCTTTGGAAAATGAAGATGTAATTAAAGTAAATTAAATACACACACACACACACATATATATGTATATATATCGCATATATACATATATTATTTATTTTTTTTTTAGGAAAATCACCTCTAAACGAGGTTTTATTTCTGTTTTTGTAAATTCAATCTAAGGAATTCATAAGCATTCTCAGGTTTTATGGTGGTTCATGTATCGTAAGGAAATACCTACTTCACATTTATTAGACGCTCTGATATTTTTAGTAGATCCCTCTGTTACTGGGGCATCGAATGATACATTTTTATAAGTTATTTCTTGTGATTTTTACTAATTATTGTATAAGTGGAATAATAAAAAATCCAAAGTTTTATACGATGCATTGCATCATTTTGCAAAGCAAACACTTTTCATGCATTACCTTGTCACTCCAAAGAATCCTCAAGGACTTCTATGTGTAGTTAAAGAAAAAAGCTTTTTAGTTTTGTTCCATACTATCATTTATTTCTAACTTTATTTTTAATGAGCACTTTGTTACAGTTTTAATATTAACAATAGGTATTTAAATAGCTTTTTATTACAATCATATACAAAATCTTTATGTACGATGTGTTATTCTGATTTGGTCTCAAATCAATTATCATGATATCAACATCCTAGCAAAATTTTTATTAACATTGTTCAATATTTTGACAAAATATTGCAGATACTGTATGAAAAATGACATAATTGACACTTCTTAATTACTAGTCTGTATTATCTGTTTCATTGGCCGTGGGGCGACCTTGGGTCAGAAAGTCCCTCCTGGGGCACACCCAGCCTCTATAAAGTTGCTACTCTTAATTAAATAATTAATTAAGGGAGAAAAGCTGTTGGTTGAGCGTGATCTCGGTCAAATCACCTCCTTGCACAACCGTTGACCTAGAAACAGTGCTTTCCCTAAATAGTACTGAACCCCAGATCCTTCATGGGTTGTAGTGGTACAGGTTTTTTTTTTAATTACTAGTCGATCTGTGGCTTCATCCGCGTTTAATTTAGATCGTATATGCCTGCTGTCCCATAAGCATGGCTAAGTGCATCTAAATAGTATTACTAATTTATGCATATAAATTACAGTGTTTTCTCTTAAGTTTATAATTATATATTAAGTACGTACCTAACAGAAATAGTAGGAAAGCTATACTGGTCTGAACCTAAGCATCACAGACGTTTTTCTTTACGCTAAATTTTACATCCAAACTCATATACAAATTAAAATTACTTAACGATAAGTATAGATTAATTGAAGAGTTCACGCCTCCAAATACCAAAACAATCAATATTCTCTTCCAATTTCTGGGAGCGTTTTTAAGCAGGTTCTCGAGATTTGCAGCTTGCAGTTAGTATTAGTCTATTTGTGATGAAATTCGATACGCCATGATTTTTTTTTTAATTGGGGGAGGACAATAAAGTTATAATACTCCATTCTAGTACATTACAGTTGCATTTCCAGAAATACTAATTCTTATTTTAAAACAAATATATTTTTAGTAGATTGAATTTTTCGTATGTTGAGAAATAATTGCTTGACCACTACACTGAGCACTCTTTTGGAAATAAATATAGAAGAAATTTGAATTACAGGAAAGGTGTGAAGATTTTCGGAGCCCTGTTAATTTTGGATAAAGTTATAGCGAAAGAATTAAATAAAAAATACTCTACATGAAAAAAATTAAGTAAAAAATATGCCCCTCCCTCTATGAAAATCTTCACCCTTTGATGACAGCGTTTAGCACACAGTGTGTTAAGGAAAGTTGAAATTAAGACTACATTTCATTGTATATAAAGTCTTTTATACAGGGGTGTCCACCCCCCATGGCCACTAGCGGATCCAGGATTTAATTTTGGGGGGGGGCTTCAGCCCGAAAGCTTTTTTTTCCATAAAAGTAACGATAATTACTTTGGAAAATACGAAAGACACTAAGTACCTATACGAACTGATGTTTATGTGATTCCTAAAGCCATTTTAAATGTAATTACACGAATAATTATACTTTAAGAGATAATTTTTTAGTATTTTTTCCGATAAAACATGGTTATATTTTACCATTTTGGGGGGAGGCTTCAGCCCGAAAGCCCCCCCCCCCGTAGATCCGCCCGTGCCCATGGCTGATGGCGCATAAATCTTCCCCCACCCCTCCTAAGATATTTTATTCCTCTCTTCTTCTTAAAAACAGTGCAAACGAAAGTAGAATTTGAATAATCGTAGATTAAATACCATCACACATCCTGTGGACGATTCCGATTGTCTTTTGATTTGAAACTTTTGATTTTGAAAATCCATAACCCTCTCGGATTGTGCCCCCCTCTAAAACTGAAAACCCCGCCAAAAAGTGCCTCCCTCATTAATTTTGATGACAAAACTTGCGCCATAAAACCCCCTTCTGGGTACCCCTGCTTATATATACATACATATATATATATATATATATATATATATATATATATATATATATATATATTGTATATTTAAAGAGAGTATTTTCTAACGAAGTATTAACATTCGTTGTCGATTATGGGATTGTATTTTTTATTTAATGTCATAGGATTAAGTATCAGACTGAAAAAACGGAAACAGAAAAAAGAACAGAAGAGGTAGAATCGGAATATATGACTTTTTGCACCTTACAGAAGTGTATACATACATCAATTAATTTAATACATACAATAAAAATAAAAAGGAGAGTATGGATTTGATGTATTTAGATATTTAAATTGAAAGCATTAACAATAATAATGTAAATAATAATAAATCATTCTTACTTGCGGCATTAATATCCAGTATAAATTTAAATCTTTACAATTTTAACATGAAAATAATGGAGCAATTTAAAATATTTTGAAAGAATAAATAAACTCACATCATTCAGTATTTGAACGTAGTGGCATATTACTATCATCTTTTGATACCGTAGTTCTTCATTCACTTACTAGAATGCGCTGTTTTAATATTTTTATATTTAGTAAAATATATATTTTTTCCGACTTTATTTAAATTTATAAACCACTTTAAATCAAATAAAATTTTGTAATAAAACTATTAAAGTTAGCTTTTAAGTATAATACTGAAAAATGGAATTGCCTATATATTGATTTATAGTAAGAGGGGCATATCACTGACTGGGGGAGGTGTCAAATTTTTGGTTGTGGTGTTAGAGGTTTTCTCTGATGTATCTTTAAATTCCTGAGGAATGCAGAATAGTTCCTAATCGTGGTCGCAACGATGAATAAGATATAGTATCGCATTAAATTCTGTGCTTGATAAAACCAAGTAATATTCTCTTGTAGTATTCTAACCTGTATGATTTTAAATTAAAGTGAAATGTTGATCCAAGTTTTCCCCTTTCGATAAAATGATTGTATTAAATCTGTAAATTATTGCTATAAAATCATATATGTACCGCCTATTCATTTTAAATAACAATACTTCTTATAATTCATCCTGGTTTCTATAGGTCATGACTGGAATGCATTACATGCTTATCTATTTCTGTTTTACTGATTAGTAATTTATCAATGTTGATGAGCCGAGCTCTTACAGATTCATAATTATTGTTTTTATTTATTCATTGATAGATAACATGATGGATCCATACATAATAACTCCGGCTGAAAGAGCCCGTTTTGAACAACAGTTTAATGCTTTGAAGCCTATAAATGGAATCGTCACAGGAGAGCAAGCGAAAGGTCTTTTACTTCAGTCCCAATTGCCTCCAGCAATATTGGGAGTTATTTGGTGAGTTATCATCGTACTACATTATTTTGGAAAATTTGATGTGATTTAGCTTGAAGATAAGGCTTCATTGTCATATCCAATTGAAAATATTCATACATATTTATTTTGGATTATTTGTAAAATATTTTTTCTTATAAAAGAATAATTTAATGGCTAAGAAGTATGGCATCATAAATATTCATTCATTAAAATAATCCTTCTGTGGGAATAGCCACTATTTTATTTGTTATATTTTAAGATTAGTGTAAAACATTATTGCATTTTGGTGTTGCCCTATTATGTATAATATACAATCAATTAAGTTAGTTTTAGATGAATTGTATAAGTTTTTTTCCTTTTCTATTAAGTTATTATTTAGGAGATAAGGAGTGTCACTTCTTAGTCATCTAATATTTTTTTTTTAAATCTATTATGTTTATTTGTTTTATATTTAACTAAAATAAGTTTTTTTTTCACTTTAATGTGTTATTTAGCTTTGCTTCTTCCAAATCACTGTAATTTTGTTTATTTTATGTTTATTATTGATATTTATATTTCTCTTTATAATTGCTGATCATGATGTATTTTTACTCACAAAGCTGAAAAGCTTAAATTATTTAAGAATATAGATTATGAAATTTGCTTTTGACTTTTTTTGCTTTTTGTGTTGGAATTTTCTATTATTATAATATGGCTTTTAATAGTATTTTGTGTTTAAATTGCCTGGGCATGAAGTTTTTCTTGTGAAAATAAATTAAATTTAAGCAGTGATTATTGACTGGTTAGGAGCAAGGGTCCCATTGCAATTATTTTAGAGGTGCATATTTTAGTTTTATACTTGTTTGTTATAATGCATTTATTTTTGTTTTTTAATAGCTCCTCAAGATGAATTCTAGAATTTATATTCTGAATAATGTATGATTTTAATTTGAAGTTCGCTGTAAATATAAGAATAAGTATATCTTTAGTATTAGACTGTACCTGTGAGTAGAATTCGCCTATCATAGTCCAACATATAGACCGATGTTGTAGGACTACATTGCATTGCATATCAGACTATTGGAGTATGCTTATGCAACTTATAATCCCATACCCATACTCACAATCCAATGGTGGTCTAATATCTAATGTAGTCCTGCGCATTGGTCTATGCCCCACAGGGGAGCGTTGCATCTTCTTTTTTTTTCCAGTAATAAAATTTTTTTCATCTTGTATTCCCGTAATATGCAAGTTGCGTACATACTTGGTTCTACAACGTGAGTCCACATGTTGGACCATGAATGGTTATCTTTAAAAATCAGCTCTGTCTTGAAACAAAAACACTACTTTTGATGTTATTTTTAAAATTTAATTAAAATTCTCCAATTTTTAGTCAATATGTGCTTTTGTTAATTGCCATCCTAATAATCGGAAACATACTAATAAATTGTTTTATTAGATTTATCTTAGGAAGTCCTTAGGTGCTCCAGTTTATACCATTTAAATACAGTGGCTTTATCCTATTTTTTGACAGAAATATTTCCTAGGTTTATATCCTTTTCGACCTTTAAAAACAAAAAGGTTCCTTACTTTTTTTTTTTTTTTCATCCCTTATTCCTCTGTTCACTCTTTAAACATGAGATTCCAGCCTACAAACTATATCCTTTCTCTGCTCCCTTTAAAACATCTATCAACAGTACTACCTTTTTATGGATTACTTACCTTCCATTAAATTTTATGGAATTCCTTACCCATCTCCATATGATTAAAACCCTCATTTTTAACTTTGCTTAAAAACCAATTATTATTCACAACCAAATTATCCTATTATTGTTATCCACAACCAAATTATCCTATTATTCATAACCAAAAGATATAATTATATATAATCTTAATTAACGGTGTTGATAACCAACAGGTTTTATACCTTTACTGTACAACAACCAACCAAACCAATTATTTCTCCATCTTTTCAACTATTAATCTTCTGAGTAAATATAAGAATAAAGTTATCTGTATATTATTGTTACCTGTCGATTATTTCACTTTTATCACTTAAATTGCTGACTAATGCAAATATGTAAACGTACAGACATTCATTTATTTATAATTTTATTATTTCTGGTTATTTACTTATGCTTGCATTAGTAAAATTTATTTTAAAAAAATAATAATAATAAAAGTCTCATTTCATAATATAATTATTTCTTCAATGTTATTTTATGTCAAGCAAAGGTTACTGGTATTGTGTATTTCTATTATTCTGATCTATAATTATTTAGAGGACTTAGTGTCCCAAAATAATATTTACTTTCTTCCTTTCTACTATTGCTTCATACCTTGTTAATTGATTATGTATAAACTTATAAGTCTTCAAAATAACCTTATAAACTAATGCAATTTCTAACCTTAAATATCTATATGATTATGTTTTAACTTTAGGTTGAAATGGTTCTGAAGAGAAATAATACACAATAAGAATTATTAGTTAACTGAATAAATTATCTAAAAAATGAGTTAGGAGAACATATATATATTTTTAATTACTGTAAACTACAAACTTATAGTAAAATATTTTAAAATTTCAATAAATATAAATTTATTGATGTATTATAACTTGGCCACGATTAGTTTACAGCCTGAGGGAGAACTTACACAGAACTTAGTTAAATAACTCCTATTTACTATCTAATCTGAAAATACATTTTTGTCATACCAGATTTGATTTATTGAGTGTTGTCATTATTTCTAACTGTTTCTTCTTGCTTCCTCATGATAATTCTCTAAATTTGCTACCATTGTTCATAAATTTCCTTGTAATTTAAAAGGATTTGTTTTATTATTATTAAGAATCTTTTTAGGTTCAAAGACTCCATTTAGATTGAACTTTGATATCTTATAATGAACAAAAATAAATTAGGAAAATTATGGTTTTAATTCTTAATTAATTAATAAAAATAGCCATTAGAGTGATATAAAACCAATTGATAATTTTTATAAAATGAAACCTTAAATAATTCTGTTTATTTTTTTCTGTTGGCATTACAGACGATGTAGATCTTTTGTCGCCTTAACAAGCCTACACCATCTGCCTGTCTTGAGCTATTTCTTTCCATTTATCTGCACGCAGCTCTATTGCATCTTTGTTGATTCTATCTATCCATCTGCTTTTTGGCCTTCCACGTGATCTTTTGGTTTCTATTGAGGCATTCATCATTACGTAGAGGCTTCCAGATGGATTGCTACGAGCTACATGTCCCACCCATCTTAACCTCCGTGCTTTCATATAATGGGGTATTGATTGACCAGTTTCTGTAAGCAGTTATTTATTGGTCTTTCTTCTCCATGTGTTAGTGCTCTGATCCTAGATCACTCTGGTTATGGTGTGGAGGATTCTCTCTCAAATCTTTCAATTCTTTTTTCTCGGGCGCTGGTTAGTGTCCAGGTCTCACAGCCATATATTAGAAATGGCTTTATCATAGCATTGTATATCCTTCTACGCAGATCCTGTTATTGGGGTGGAATTTTCGGCTTATTATCATATATATTGTTTTGTCTTCATTTACTTATAGGCGAATTTACTGTACTTATCTCATCAGAGTATTAGCGGGTTTCGTAATGTCATCTTGATTACTTCGACAGCTGCATATCCAATGATTTTATGATTCATACCGATGTGGACCTCTTCATGACTGTGTGATATTGTTCTTATAACCTTCTCCAGTGCTAAGTTGAACAACATCGTTTGATAATCCACCTCTCAGCCGTAACCCCGTTCGAACTTTGAAGGCTTCAGATACTTCTCCTTGTCATTTGTACGCGCCTTTGTCAATATCATCAGTGTTAGTACTCAGATCCCATATAGCTCCGGTTATCGTGTGGAGGATTTTTCTCTCAAATCTTTCAATACTTTTTTCTAGAGTGCTGGTTAATGTCCAGGTCTCACAACAATATATTAAAACTGGCTTTATCATAGCATTGTACATCCTTATGCCATCGTACACACTTTGAGATTTTACGGGATTTCAATACCTTTGAAAGGAAGAAGAAATCTCTGTTTGCGCTAGTTATACGCTGGTCTATTTCTGCCCTAGTGTATAAACTTTTTCTTATATACGTGGTTTTCCCAGACCAGGGGATGAGTGCAGTGGATTAATAGCACAGTTAAAAGCCCCTTCCAGCTCAAGGATCCGAATTAATTTTTTTATTAAATAATCTAGTAACTAAGAAACAAATTTTGATAGCTGAAAGTTACGGAAAGAACAAAGATGTGACATTTTGTTCTTTATCTCTGAGTTACAGAAATGTTATAGTAATAGTGATTATACTCAAGTATTTTTATCAATGTTAATTAGACTATACACCAAGTATTATGCAAGACACTTAAAGATGAAAATGTTCTAATAGGAATCCATAAAAAAAATCATACATACATATATACATATATATATATATATATATATATATATATATATATATATATATATATATATGTATATAACTTAAGATATATAAAGGTCGAATTATAAAAAAACATTGTATTATTATATATATGAATGACCAATGGGCAGAAATAGACCAGCGTATAACTAGCACAAATAGAGTTTTTTTTCTCCCTCTCAAAGGCATTCAAATCCCGAAAAATCTCATACTAAGGGTATATGATGCTATGATAAAGCCAGTTAAAATAGATGGGTGTGAGACCTGACAATAACCAGCACCCTAGAAAAAAATGTTAAAAGATTTCAGACAAAAATCCTCTGCACGGTAACTGGAGTGATCTGGGATCAGAATACAAACACAGGGAGAAGAAAGACTAATAAAGACTGCTTACAGAAACTGGTCAGTCAATATCCCATGATATGAAGGCACGGAAGGCTAAAAAGCAGATGGATAGATAGAATAAACAAACATGCAACAGAGCTGTGTGCAGATAAATGGAAATAAATAGCCCAAGAAAGGCAGGGATGGAGCAGACTTGTTAAGGCGGCAAATGATCTACGTGGTCTGTAATGCCAACAGAAAAAAAAAATATATATATTTTTTTTTATTCTTTTTCCTCTGCTGTAGTAATCCTACAGAAGTGACATATATTTCTTATGTGCATATTATATGCAAACTATGCCCAAGAATATTATATGCATGAAATCAATTTATTAGCCCTTTTTGCCAACCCTTTGCTAACTATTGGGATATATTCCATCCTAACCATACATTGTCAGTCAAGATTCATCTTGCAGGAACCACCACAAAATAAATACTAATACAGGAGATTAAACACATACCACTCCCACTATAATTTCTATAATTTTTAAAAATCATAAATAAACGGTAAATTTGTTATTTAACATAAAACATACTAAGTGCATATTAAATAACAACTAAGATTAGATGGCCCTGAGAAATTTTATTTGTAAATTAGTGTTTTATAAAATTTTCCTATTTATTAATTAATAATGTTTACCCAAGGAGTATTTACTCAGGGCATTGCTGTAGATTCAATTAATTCAATATACATGTATTCATTTGGTATTGCTAATATTGTATAGCCTTACGTTCTAATATTATTATCTTTTTACATACTCATAATTTATAATAATTCCACAGGGCTTTGGCTGATACTGATGCTGATGGAAAAATGAACATAAATGAATTTAGTATTGCTTGCAAATTAATTAATTTAAAATTGAGAGGATTCGATCTTCCTAAGGCCTTACCACCTGCTCTTAAAAGTCTCGTTGAGCATCCTCGTAAGTGAATTATGGTTTATTTATACTTAGTTAAAAACAATGTAACATTAAAAACTTTTATAAATGCATGACTTTTCTTGTGCTAAATATTATTCAAAGAACACTAATCAGTGTTATACTAAGTGATTGGCTGTTGTTTAATTTGTTGCTTTCTCATGATTTGCTGAAGGTTAATTTTGTAGATTAGTTTGAACTCAAAATTGTATATATATATATACACATCACATATATAGCTTTGCACACAAACTTAGCGTATCACTTACCTCTGCAGGAATCAATAATGTTTCTTGACAAATTTATAAAAAACTTTGTTGAATTCTATTTTATAATTTTAAGTTGGCATATTATTTTTTCCTTACAGCTGTTGAGTATACTTTTTTAAAGTTTGATGCTATATTTATATTTCATTTTGAAAAATGACTGTTTTGTTATAATTTCTGGTAGTTTTAATTTTAATTTCTTAAAATTTTTTTGTATTCTTTTTTCAGCTCCTCCAGTACAGTCAAAGCCGCCTATTCCACCACTTCCAAATTCTGGTTTATTAATGATGGCCAATGAACCTACTCCTATCCAGCCAGCAGCCCTGGCGAAAACTATCTCTCCTCCATCGGGAAGACCGTCACCTGTTACTTCACCACCGTTGGTTGGTGGTCCTCCTCCCAAACCACCACAACCATTGTTGCCCCCTCAATCTGCTTCTCAAATCCAATCTCTGATCTCAACACAACCTCAACTTCCACTTATGCAGCCTAAACCCCCTCAGACGATCATTCCATCACAACTCCCTCTTCAGACAGCACCTCTCATTCCTGGAATTCCTGGGGTACCTAGCCAGCCAGGTATGACACCTATGCCTATTCCTAGTCAGCCAGGGATGACACCCATGCCACCAGCAGGTTCAACAGGACTCACATCTGTAATGCAGTCTGGTATTCCTCCTGTTGCATCTATTACACCAGTTCAAGTTCCTCCTGTTGGAATGGCTCCTATGGCACCTGCAGCCAACCAGGTTGGCATATCTGCCATGCCTACTTCTCTAGCAAACCAAAGCAGTATTCCAGTGATGACATCTGCAATTCAGCCAGGTTTCGCACATCTGGCCGGTCAGCCATCATTAATGACTAGTCAAACAGGAATCTCATCGACCGTGGTTCCGCCTACTACTCTCAGTGGTCTTACAACTACCCAGTCGAGCCCACCGACACAGCCTACTCCTCCAACTCCTCCAATAGCTGTGGCTACATCCCAGTCTTCATTAGAGAGGGTTTTGTCACTTGATTCACCGTAAGTTAGCTTAATTTGAATTAATCTATTAAAAATAATTTCTCCATTTTTAAAAACCTAATGAATATCTATTTCTTCACTTAAGAAGTTTATTTTTCATTATTATATTCTTGATGGTGAGTTTATAAATTGTCAATCTGGAAGAAGACAAAAAATTTTACCACATCTCAAAAATTAAAACAAAATAGTTTCATGAAATGTGGAAATTATATTGAGAAGATTGTAATAAGATTGGTGACCATTAACACTAGCTTTGAAATATTTTTCTTGATGAAATCTCCGCACTTTTTAACCTAAAATTTCATTAAAAATTTTTTTTTTAATCTTTTAGGTGTAATAGTTTCTTCCAGATTGACGATATTGCATTCAATTTCTGACTTTATTAATTAATTTATTTATTTGTTTTAATATAATAATTATTGGGGATCTTGGTAATAAATTTTTTGAAGATTATCTCATGCTGTTCTTTCTTTACCTTAGGAGGAATCTTCTATACTTTTACGAGAGCTCAAGGCGGTGAGATGTTGTTATTTTCATTCATCATTTACGTGTCAAATGCTTAATTTTTATTAACCTTTAACAATGTTTCAAGTTTGTTACTGTATTGGAGTAAAGCGTTAAATTTTAATTTTTTAAAATTTAATTATTAATTTAATTAATTAATTAAAAAATAATTTTAATAAAATATCTTCCAACTATTTAAATGAAAAAATAGTTTTCCTTCTTTTGAGACTTGTAGTTTTAATATTTTTTGCAGAGGAAAATAAAACCTTTGGCCTAATGAAATCAAATTTAGGGGTGGGGGGAACGCTTTACTTCTTCACGGTTTTTACTATAAGAGTATGAGCTTTAATTTGCAACTTGCAATTCAAATGAGCTATTACGTCTACATTTTAATCATTTAAAAGACAATGGATACATTTTTGTTACAGCTGAATCATCAAAGCTTTAATTTAGCAATCATGCTTATAATTTATGCTTATTTTATTTTAATTCTTGTCTATGATTAATTATTTGTTTTATTTTTTCTGCTCATAATGTTATTATTTATAGCTTATGTCTGTGGTTTATATTTTTATTTGCTTTTATTTAGGTAAGACCGAATTTCGTTTTGCTCAATAGTTTCAGGCTCTCAGCAAAACATTCCTTTTCTTTTTTATTATTATAATGACATTGATTATGTTTAAGAAGAGTTTTACGTCATATTGTATTTTAATCATTTGGTCAATCAAACGTTTGCCAGTTGTGTGTCTAAAAATATATCTATTTTTGGTTTACCTTAGATTTTATTATTTGTTTAATTATATATTTTACAGAATCGGGTTGAATCAGTTGAAACATCTATTTTTCTGGGAAATTAGTGTAAGATAAATGTGCTAAAAAAATATGTTTATATTTCAAAGTAAAATGTTTTACTGAAGTTTGATATCATACTCAAAATTAGGATCTCTCACTGTTATGTAAGAAAAAAAAATATTAGGAATTTTGATCCTTTTGTATTTTAACAGGTATTTAATTAAGTAAGTTATGAATCTTAATGTCACCGAAAATAAGTACTTGGCATTTTTCTTTTTCATTTAAAATTTACTTCTTTCCATTTAAAATTTATTTGTTTATTGGTGACAAAAAGATTGTTGATAATTAATTTTGAATTGTCAATACTTTCCAGTACATTCATTGATAAAAAATCTTAAGGATTATGGTTGTTTACATTATTATTGAGGCGATGTAGTTAAAGGTAATTAGTCAGTATCATTTAAATTTTTACCTTGTTTCTTTATTGTATTACACAGATTATGATGTGTTATATGTACCATATTCTACATTGTTATTGTTAAAAGCTATTAAGTTTATAATTATCAGATTAAGAAGTACATATTTTATTTTTTAATTACTATAATTTAATATTTATCTGTTCTTTTTTTAGACTTGGAAGTAGTTCACCTTTGGTGGAATGGGCTGTTCCTCAAGCTTCTAAGTTAAAATACACTCAGTTGTTTAACACGACTGACAAAGCACGCTCAGGGTACCTCACCGGGCCGCAGGCAAGGACTATACTGTTAGCTTCGAAGTTACCACAACCAGTGCTTGCACAAATATGGTAATACTATGTTATGATAATGCGGCAAATACATTTATTTTCCAATTAACCATTTTATTGTTATAGGTCTGTAATTTTTGTGCTGTTCATAGTTTGTCATATCAATTATTCAAAAATTTTTCTCTATGGTGGTGTAATAGAAAAATGATTTTTTTCCTCCTAATATTCATTCAGCATCTCTAAAGAAGGCCCCTAGGAGTAGTGAATAAAATATTTGTGACTTCTTTAGACTGTTTTTTTTTTGCAGGTGTCTTATTGTTATGTTAATTTTTTCACACAGCAAAAAAAATTACTTTTCTTTCTCTTTAATGTTATATGGATTGTTATCCAATAGTTTTTCAAAGTGTTTCATTAAAAACAAATATATAACCTAGTTTGTGAACATTTTTTAAAAATAAAATCTTATTACAGTTGAACTATCCTTCCAACTTCCAGATATCAGATTTATTTTCATTTAATAATCAAAAAATATGTCCAGCAATCTTGAATTCCTTAAAGGTCGAGAATTTTTCGCATTGATAAAAAATTAGGGGATATACTTGAAAAAATCCAATCATCGGCAATTTTTATTTTAATAGTTCCATTTTTCCATTAGTATTTATCAAAAAGTGTACAAAATACATTTATTATAAATATAAACAATTTTATTGATATTCATAAATTTTATTTTAATCTGAATACTTAATGTTTTCCGTTGATTGATATACAGGGCTCTGGCCGATACTGATGCAGATGGAAGACTGTCTTGTGAAGAATTTGTTTTGGCTTTACATTTATGTGATTTGGCAAGAGCTGGTGAAACTCTACCATCAAGTTTACCTCCAAACCTGGTGCCGCCTACTCTTCGAAGAGTCAGGAATAACAGTCTTACTTCCTCTGAACAAGGAGATTTAAGTGCAACTGGCATAAATCAAGGTAACTTGAATATTGATTTCTAAGTTAACAACTTATCAACAAAGTATGCACATATGTTTGTTTGCGCGTATAATATGTTATTGAATGCTTGATGGACTCAGATTTGGTAAAAATAATGTTTGTCCTGTTTAATTCTCATTAACAAATGTGGCATAAATATTAACAAACAAATATAAACAATAACTGTTTGTTTGTTTTGTTATAATAACGTGTTTGACCATCATTCCCTAAATAATGATTTGATGTAAATGTTTTCATATTCATTTGTTGATGGCGTAAGTAATAGTCATTTTTTTTCTTTACCATAAATGTTCCTATTTCATTTTATTCTAGAGCCCATATTCTCTGTTTTTGGAATTTTTTTTTCTGTTGGCTTTGATAAAGAATAATTAATTTTTATGAATTATAGCATCCTTATGTAAATTTTATTTTGTATGATTTATAATTTTGGTTTATTATTTTCAATAACGAACCTTTGTAATCAACCAAAAAAAAAAAATTAAACCCCCTCAAAATTTCACTTTTCAAAATATGTTGAATCCAAAAATTTAATTAAAAAATGCGTCCATCAGCCTTACATCATCCTCTTTTAGATTTACTATCAATGTCAGAGGTTACTTGAGGATTTTCCTCAGAACTCAGAACTTTTAAAAGTATTTTTAATTTATAGCCATATACTAAAATCAATATTTATATCTTAATTTCACTAACCTTAACCATATGTGATAAGTAGAGACTGGATTTCCATGTTATTGCACATTTTATTCGCTTACATGTGAAAATCCCTGACCCGAATATCTATCCATTTTAGGATCTGTTAAATACCTTTAACCTTTCAAGTTCCTCTAACTACTCCATTCTTTGTAAGTCAATTAACCAATTTAAGGGAAATTTAAACAAATATATTTAATTATTTTTGTATTTGTTTTGTGAATTATCTTTAAATTTTCGATTATTTATGTTAGTCCTTTTTTACTTTCCTCTTTCTCCAAGATTTAGGTTAATCGTAAGTTATTGCTGTTTTAAATTATGTATTGTTGTTTTTAATTGATTGTAATATGGATTTTAATTTTCTATATTGCGTTTTAATTGTTTTTTTTTTTTGTGACATAATATTTTAATTCAGAAGCTTAACATAAGGTTTGATAAGATTTTGATGTATTAGTATTATAAATGAAACAAAAATCGATGATTTTTGTAAGTTTTGTAGGTGTAAATTTGACAATTTTTCATATTTTGGGTTTTTACTGCACGATTTTGCACATTTTGAGTTTTTTACTCCACCTTTTTCGGATTTTTGCTGCATGAAGATCCGGTCTCTAGTGATAAGTATCCCATGATGGCTCCAGGATTATCACTAGAATTAAGATAAGTCAGCTCATCTCCAAAACATAAAATTTATAGATTAAAAACTCTGGGCCCATAATAAATTCTCTTTCTTATGACATCTCGTTTGTCAAAATTCATTCCTGAGAGCCCAAAAAGGAATATATATGAGTATATTATATTGTATATATAGTCAATAACAATATCTAATGAGCACTGTGCTGCAATTGTTTAATCCAATCCTGTCCGTGTGGGCAATTAGTCCAGCAAAACAGGCTGCGTAACCTTGATAAAACTGACCTCAATATTTAGATTCCCTCAGGAGGAAGGTTGATTGGGCTAAACCCTTCAGCACGGGGTACCTGTTGATCACCAAGATACTGAACCCAATCCTCAAGGAATGTGGCTTGCATGAAGGGATCCATCATCTCCCACCGTTAATTAATTTTGACTATTTTACAAAATTAATTGGTCTGAGATAGATTTTTGAAAATTTTACACGGGCCTTCTTATTTTTATTTTCTAATGTACAAAATGTTGGTTTTTCATTTATAATTTTATTTGTACTTGTTAAATATGTGTATTACCAATACATAAGATAAAGTATTAAGCTACAGTATAATATTTAATGTTTTTAAGTTTTTTTTTTTATTTAAACTAATAATTTCTGATTTATTCGAAATGTTAACACTGATTATGATATTTTATATTGGATGGAAAAACTGGAAAAAAAATACTTACAATACTATTTAATTTATTTAATACTTATAATAAATGTATTAAATAATATGCTTATAAATGTGAACACGCAAATTTCACAGTTATTATTAAAGTTATCACACGGCTTATGTTGAATTAAAAGTGTCTGGATTAATATCAGTGATCCTAATAACCTCTACCACATTCCTCATTCATATTTCTTGCCTGTAAATATATACCTTATGAAATATATTTATTTTATTCTTTTGATTTTTTGATAAAATTGGTACTTTTTGGGAAGCGGTTAGCTAAATGACTAAAGGCACTGATTTACATGGACCCATGTTTAAGTCAGGATATGGTAGATAATTATTTATTATGTTTCATCAACCGTGGTTCAACCTTGGTATAGGTAGACCCTCCTTGGCACACCCAGCCTTTAAAAAGTGGTTAATCTTAATTAATGAATTGATAATGGAGAAAACCGGACGGTTGAGCGTGATCTCGACCCAATCACCTGTTTGCACAATTTTTGGCCTAGAAGCAGTACTTCCTTACAAATTACTGAACCCAAGACACTTCATGAGTTGTAATGTTATTAGTTTTCTTTTTTCTTTTTCTAGTATTTAATGGACTTATAATACATTGTCAGTTTATTGCAAAAATTCATTAAGTAGCATTTCAATAAATCTGAGATAATCGAATTTGAAGTTTCTGCTTCATTAAAAAATATTAAAGTAGCCATTTTAATTATTTATTTTTTGTTATTTGTAATTCTAAATATATATGTTCTATTTTTGACAATTAATTAAAATACTTAACATATACCATAACAATGAAAACAAATGAAACCATGATGCACACAATGACTTTTTGCACATTTTCATAGTTAAACAGACCACTAACTTTTATAACCTTCCAAGTACATAGTGGGTTACTTACTTAGTTAGTAGTCACTTAGTTTTATTAACCATCTCATCAATGAATCCAGTGAAAGAAGTCATTAAGTATGAGATAGTGACTTTTTGCTATATTAAGTCAGAACATCATGCACTTAGTGAAACTATTTTTTACATATAAAAGGATTTGTATTGTTTTTATGCACTTAATAAGTTGATGTATCTAGAAATATGATCAAAGTTAACAAAGTGTACTTCGTGAATTTTTGTAATAAAGCGACGGACGATATATTATAACTAATTCCGTAACACGTATAAATTAAGTCTGGAATTGGTTTTACTTTGTAATAATTTTATTTAATCATTGCTCTTATTAAATTGTCATCTCAAGATTTTTAATTTTACTTATACTTTTATTCATAGTTACCTTTGAAGACAAGAGGAAAGAAAATTTTGAAAAAGGTCAGGCTGAGCTAGACAGACGGAGGAAAGCACTGCTAGAAATCCAAAGGAAAGAACAAGAAGAAAGAGAAAGGAAAGAGAGGGAAGAGCGAGAAAAACAGGAAAAAATTAGGTAAATAATTTTAATCTACTTTATTAATAAACTGTGAATTTTGGTATGTGTTGTTTTATGTCAATGTAATAATAATGAACCTGCAGTTAGTTACTATATTTTTTGGCTTATTAGGTTGCTATATAGTATTTATTTTTTTAACATTGGAGATTTTTCCTTACAAGCCCTTCTAATATCAGCCTTCTCCATCTATCTTCTAATTCATTCATTACATTATTTCATTAATGAAATTAAATAATGTATATTATGGATTTAGTACAAAAAGACAGTAAGTAACATTTCTCAAAACTAAATTACCTTGTACTTTGATGAATTTTCTCTCTATGAAATAAGAACTTAGATTAACTATATGTGATAAATAAAAGATTTTGTATAATTTTCCTGCACTTAGGGTGTGGGTGTTATTGAATCAATAAATAAAGCCAAAATTTACAAAAACATACTTGAAAGTTAACCTGCATACATCTAAAATGCACTTAGTGACTTTTTGCAATAAACCAATAATATAAATGTTATCTACTTCAGCTGATGATTGATCCTTTAACTTAAGTGCAGTAAAGTGTTGGTCTTCATGGTATAAGACCACATTAATTGCTTCATAGAAAATTGTAATTATTGTTTTAAATGCTCTTAATAATTCTTATTTGTTTAATTGTATTCTTTCATTTCATTATTTTTTCTCTTCTTCTATTTTATTGATTCCATGAATATTAGCTCTTAAGTGTATTAGTTTGATCAACACTTTATTTATCTTTTTTTTTTTCATGTCAACATCATATAATTTTTAAAAAAATTTAAATTGTCCATTTATTCTAATTTGTATAAGTTAACAAAAATGAGATAACTCCTTTATAATAATTTTAATTTTGGTTTTTAGATTAGAACAAGAAAAGAAAAGACAAGAAGAATTTGAAAGACAGCTAGAAAAACAGAGAGAAATAGAAAAGGCCAAAGAAGAAGAAAGGAGGCGAGCGCAAGAGCAAAGAGAAGCTGCAAGAAAGTAAGTATGCAATTTTGTAGTTTAATTTTTTAAATTATATATTAGCCTAGAAGAATAAACAATCAGTTACTGGACCACTGTAATTGCGGAAACCCAGTTTCTAATAAATACTACTGTATAAATTTAAGTATCAATAAGATCACCAAAATTTCCAAATCTATTGTGGCTGATACTCTTGTGATATATATAAATAAACTATATAGCCATGAGTCACCAAGATACTAGTGAACAGTTAATTTGTCAATGTTTCGCCAATTCACGCATCAACAGGGCAGAAAAAACTAGATCACATGTATGCAGGAAGAAAGAAAGAGAGAAAAAACATTTGTTATGACATCACATCAAACAATCCAAAAACATACTGAAGGAAAACAGGTGGTGAAGGTTATATAAAACAGCTGATTAGCAGAGATACGGAAAAAAGAGTACTCATACTTGAAATATAATTGTACAAAAAATGTGTTAGTAAAAATAAATTAAGAAAGAACAAATTAATAAATACAAAAAAGAAAAAAAATTGTATTTTTCTTTCTTTCTTTCTGCATGTATGTAATCTTGTTTTTTCTGCCCTGTTGTATGTTGCTGACTCATGGCTATATAGTTTCGATATATATCATGTGATGATGCCTCAATTGGTGAAACGTTGGCTAGTTAACTGTTCACTTGTATATTGGAGACTCATGGCTTTATAGTTTAGATTCCTACATTCATAATGTCTCTTTTCAAGCTTTTTGCTTATTTTAGTAGTATATATATACAAATGCAGTGAAATCTCTGATTTGGAAACGAAAATGAGGGTAAGAAGACTTAGATTTTATGGACACAAACATGCAAAGGATGACCGAGGAGAGGTTAAACAAGATTTTCAGTAGGGTTATGGGATACAAGTTTAACCATGGATATAGGGCACAAATAAAACAAGAAATACAGAGGCTTAGGATAACATGGGAATTGTGTGAGGATAGGACAGAATACGAGAAATTCCTGAAAAGTGTGGTGCATGTGGTGGACAGTAAGGAACTTCCGTCCAGGAGGAAGTGGACGGAGGAGAGGAAGAAAAAATTTAGCAATATCCTCAAGCAGAGATGGGCAGAAAGGAAGAAATTGAAAAAGAAACCAGTTTCATAGTCGCGTAGTCCTTCAGAGCTGTTTTACATCAAATAATAAATAATAATATATGTTTTGTAGGGTTACGTTTCCTTGGAAAAGTAAACAAAACAGTTTCTGAAACAAATCATATTTATTTTACATAATAATTATTTCTCAGGTTGGATTGAGACAACTAACACACATTCCTCTAATATGTAATACAAAGGCATACATTTATTTTATATGATTTCCTCACATATTATATTGATTTATTGCACTTGTGGCTTTCTAATTTTTAGTAATTGTCTCATCTTGCAAAAATTGAATATTTTATTTATTTAATGTATTTTAGAGAAATGGAGAGACAGAGACAGCTTGAGTGGGAAAAACAACGGTTACAAGAACTCCAAACACAAAGACAAAAACAACAAGAATTAGTTCTAAGTTTAAAAGCCAAAAGCCAGGCTTTAACAATTGAACTTTCACAGAAGGTAATGTAATGATAATCTTCATTTTTTATCTTTTAAACTTTTTTAAGACAACTTTTGAAAAAAAAAAAATTTAGAATGTCGTCTTTTATTTCTTAATAATTAATTTTTCATACAAATTGATCTATCTAGGGAGAAGAAAATATTTTTATAGTTACATTTCTTACAAGCTCTAGTGAATTTTTAAAAATAAATTTAGACACACAGACCAATGACCGAAAATGGCTTGTTTTGGCTCAGATGGCTTTGGAATGCTAACATCTGTTGAAAACATGTTCATCGAAAATTTATACAATTCCTTACCTAGTTCCTCCAGATGACAATAACAGGATTCCACCATTGGAGGTAGTTTCCACTTTTATGATTTTAATCAAAATCCTATTTTGCCAGAAATTTGTATTTTATCAAACATTAAGCCTCCTTTGGTTTCACCATTCCTCCTAACACTCTTCAAGGGATGGTTTTCCACTGAAGAGTCACCATGTGTAAAAGGAGAAAAGCTTCCAGATGGTATTGAGTATTGGTGGTTTGTATATACCATCAAGTTCTGCTTCCACTTTCTCTTTTGGCTTCACCCTGCTGCCGACATCACCTTCAACCTAGTCTCGATTGACACTGCATTGGATTTGAGCTCTAATAGGTCCCCCACTCCTCCATAGTTTGGGTCTCTGTCCTTGATCTAGTCCAAGATTGACTCATCTGTACTATAGTAGTTTCGTCTTTACTACCCCCCTCTGGAATTCTGAACATTATGTATTGTATACCACTATATAAAGTCCCCTTAGAATAATAACAGAGTTCGAAAAATTAAGCCTGTTAGTCTGGCTTGAGAAAAAAAAAAAAAAGAAGTACTTGTCATTTAACTGTTAATTGCAACTGCAATTGCGATTATACAGTTAATTGAACTATACAGTATGCAAAGTAACACAAGTGAATTTTATTTATATGATTTATATATATATATATATATATATATATATATATATAATGCTATGTATTGAACATAGCCTAATGATAATTAATAATATTTAAAAATAATATCTAACACCTGGGCGGGTACCTGAAACCCCCGACCCAACCTTTTGTAAGTGGCAAGAAAACAAGTAGGAACCCCAAAGGAGCGACACCCAAGAACCGTCATAATTACGTGGGAAAGTGGTTACCTAGATAGTGGTATGGATACCTGAGACCCAGAAACCTTTGAGCAGGGACTAAAACACTTGAGGCCAACGGCGGTCAAAAACAGCAAAGGACCAGTCTTGTGTTTAAAGAGGACAAAAAAGCTTTGAAGCCTAAGCAAAGGAAGAAACGGTCGTGTACCTGCTAAAAGGGGTGTGTTCAACATAACATTGGGGGTGTGGTCATCCCTTCTGCTACACAATTCCAACCAATAGTAACCATGCTTGCCCCACCCTAGATATAGAAAACAAGATCTACTGAGGGGGATAGAGAAAAAAAGGGAGGACACTTCTTCTTGGAACGCAGCTGAAGACACTTCTTCTTGGGACTGAGCTGAAGACACTTCAAGCTGGGAAGGAAGCGAGGACAGCTGGATGAGGAGAGGCTTTTGAGCCTACGCCACTGCCCAGCGTAGAGGAGATGTCGGATGGACTGCCCGGCCCTGAGGAGGTCCCTGATGTTTTCTTCTAGCTGGAGGACTGAAACATGACCCATGGACTTTGCAGATGCAGCCATGCCATATTAGATAAGTAATTCCCAACAATTCCTTTTTAAAGATGTTTAAATATTTAATGGCAATGTAATTTTCAATTCCATCCATCTGAATCATGCCTTCACAAACAATTGTATAGTTCATTAGTTTTTGTAAATATAATGTATATAACATTCTTTCTCATCACTTGTAAATAAATATAATTTGTACATAAAAGTTATTTTAATCATGCCACCTATTGATATCATTATAAGCACAGGTAATGTTTGGTAATTAAAGAACAGATAAACACACAACAAGCCTTTGTGAGAAGTAATCCAATAGATGAATCAAGGACCAATATGTCAAATGACATAATTTGTTTAACTAATATTTTTACTAATTAATTCTGGATAATTATCTTCAAGAATTATCCAGTGGCATCCCGTATATAAAAATCTATCAAAAACCCATTTGATACGTAGCAATATATATATAAAGTCACTAACAAAAAAAATAAAAATAAAATACTACTTGTGGATTAATCGTTAATGAGCTATTGTAATTATGGAATCCAGTAAATATTACATAAATGCGGAAGAATATGCATATATGGGATAGAATGCATTTGCATGAATCCATAATGCGTAGTTGAATGCACTCAACTGATAAATCAAGTTTCTGTGGTGTCTTTAAAAATAAAAGTGATGGTCTGGCAATGAAGGATAGATGATCAAGTTATATTGAGAATGCAATGAATATTCATATATATTAAAAAAAAGAAGAGCTCTATCGAAAATGTGAGTTTAAGGCTAAAATTTGTCTGAATGAATGATGTTCTTATGCCTATCACATTTTAGGTTTATAAAGTCTCAAATCCGCTAAGATAGCCAGTTTAGCAGGTGTTAAAATGTTTTTATTATATAGATCAGGTTGATTGATAACAGCAATTGGAATGTCAAGATCTGCAGACATTGTAAAATTGTCATTAATCTCGTTCTTTTGGATGAGCTTTAGCTACTACCCTACTCACATGATAGGGTTCATCCATTTGAAGAGGAGCTGTTCTCTATCAATATGGTGTTGGTACCACAAAAATGTTAAGGAATTAAGAGTATTTCTCAGTTTAGTAAATTTCCATGAGAAGTTAGTAGTAGTGTGTAGAGGAAAATGGAATTGTATCACAACAGGCAACAAAAACAGTGTGTGCTCTGGTAGAGTTATTTTTGTGATGTTTCAATCCTTCTGGATTGTGTGAAGCCAGTATTCAAATAAACTGTCGAATGAAAGGGAAGATAAAGGATTACCATGACAAGAAGGCCAAAACTTGTCAGTTTGAGAGAACAGAAAATGTTGGAGTTTGGAAAAGGAGGTTGGGAACTTGTAGTAATAATGAAGAGGATATCGGACATGTCTAAAGCGATCCTCATTGGTGAAACGGTGACATCCATAGGAAACAAGCTGATGAACATTCGAGTCGGGAAGGAGCAATCAAAGACTACCATGGAGCTATTTCTGGATGAATTGTAGTATTCCTAAAAATCACATGTGATTTTATTATTGCGGTTCCTCATTGTTTTGGTTATAAAACAAATAAAATTATAGTTTAGAAATGGTATGTTTGTTTCTAGAGTCCAATACATCATTTTCAATTTTTGTAAATGTCAACTTCATTAAGAATTCATCAATGTATTTAAATAGATATGTAAGTACATTCTGTCCCTTAGGGTGAATAGGTAGGGTTATAAGCTGACTTTATTACCTTTTTTGATATTTGTATATTTTTTTAAATTAGCAAATTAATTATTTGTTTTTTTTAAATAGGTATGAATAAATGTATAAATGAAAAAATTAAAATCTGTCTCCAATTTGACGGCCAAGGCATTTGCCACTTAGCCACTCCCTATTTACAGCCCTGCTCTTAAACATAAAGATATGTTTAATCACATGTAGACAATTTTTGACGGGTACAATACTTTACTTACCTAGGAGTGTTAGGAAAGTAAAAAAAATAAGAGAAAAAAATTGGTAGATTTCTCACTTCTTTATTGTTAGTTGTCTTTTTTTTTTTTTTTTTGTTAACATTCCCTTAATGACATAATGTATAATGTGAATTTAATGTAAGTAATTGTTTTTAGGAAGATAAAGTGAAAGAATTATCTAAACAAATAAGTGAAACGAGGTGTGGAGTAACATCTGTAAAATCAGTGATTGATGGAATGCGTGTATCCAGAGATCAAAATTTAGCAGAATACAATAGCCTTAAAGCAGTAATCAAACAGCGTAATGCCCAGACCCTGGCCTTAAGTCAACAGAAAGCCAAGCTTGAAGCAGCTGGCAAACTGGGCAAAGAGGAAAAGGAAAAAGAACAAGCGGCATTTGATGATAAAGCATTGATCATCAAAAACTTAAAAGACAAACTGAAAGATATGGAAGAGCAGGTAATTTAATTTTTTTTTTGTTTGATTTTAAAATAAATGTGCTATATTTTTTTTTAAAAAAATTGAATCATCAATTTCTCGGAAATGTATCATTTTTACTTTCACTTACCTATATATGTAATATAAAATAAGGGAAAGTATTGCGATCATGAAAATGTTTGAATCTGAGTTTTCAACGGAAATACACGGTTTGAGGTACCCTGAGTCCAAATAACCAAGTCTCGCAAAATGGTCTGTATGTCTGTGTATCTGTGTATGTGTATGTTAGTAGTCTATCTCAAAAACGAAAAGTCGTACGAAATTAATATTATGTATTTAAGATAGGTATATGCCATAGATGTGACTGCAGCTTTTCCTTAAAATCGACTAACCGGAAGTGGCAGTTTATATCAACGCTTAAACATATTTTTACAGTGTGTACTCTAATGATTTTGATTAAACTCGGTGTATCATTATATAATTAAGTGGTCTTTTGTATCAATCAGATCTTATCCCCATTGATGTCACTTTACAGGGCTTAAATGCCCAATGTTCATATACGTCTTCTTCTAACATATCTTTTCAATCATGTTTTCAAGGACATTAAATGAAATTTTCTTACTAAACATATTTTTAACATTTTTTTTTTAAGTTTGAAAAAGTACTTAAAATCCACGGATTCAAGGCAATGGACACTGTTTGAAATACTGTTTCATTGTACTTGTGCGAAAGAAGAAGTGAAATATAAAAATATTTCATGGATATGTTTATAACCTTAAATATATTTACTGTAGTTTAATATCTCTTGATCTGATATTATATTTAAATAATTTGGTATCAATCATCCGTTCATTCCGAAAAACCATCATGTAACCTTTTAGAAAATTAAATTAGTGAATAATTTGATGAATTATCCCTTTGTGATATTTCAGCAGTATCCACTTCCAATTAGTGTGACAACTTTTGACCTGTCTATGACAGACAATGATAATCTCTTAATTCCATTTTAGTAAACTTTGCAATGGAAAATAACAGTTTAATTACTAATAGTCTTACAATCCATAATGAACGGATCGTATAACCCATAATCAACTAGTGATATAATAAATAGAACTTTTGTTATTTTAATGGTATTTATCATTTGTTAGCTTTGAGCTTCAGCTCGGTTAAAAATGCACTTCAAAAATTTTATAATAGCCCAACATGGTCAGAAAATAATTTCTATTCAAAGTTGAGCGGTAAGTGAAAGTTGTGTGTTGCGCGCACCAGATTTTTAAGAAGTGAAATGTCATTATTTGATTATTCTATAGGGTTTGTAATATTGGCAATGTTTATTCAGTGCTAAGCTTGTACCTAAACTGATATTAGAACTCTCTTTCTGTTTTCAGCTTTTTTTATTGTTTATGACCATTGAACGTTTTTTTAGTTCCAGTTTAAAAATCAATTGTTCTAAAAAAAATCATACTAATGCATTATAAACCTTTATTTTTTTTTTCTTTTATGATTGAATGTTTCTTCTTCTTCAAGTTCCTGCCTTATTGGGTACTGGCTTTCAACATCATCAATGTCAGTCATCACGTTAGTTTCTAATAGTTGCCTGTAAAGTTGATCAGAAGAATTCTCAATTATTTCTCTTTTCATCTGGGCAGAAATGTTTTGGCTTGGCGCATCTGGAGGGGGATATTTTTTATTCTTCTTGAATATGTTTAAGAAAGTAAACATTTTCTTCTTTGGCTTTCCATTATCAGCATTTTCTTTTCCTGAGGAATTGCTTTTATAACTTTGATTTACATATTTTCTCTCTTTAAATTTGGTATTTTGACTTGAAGGTTTTATACTTTCCGATAAATTATGAGATTGCCTGTCAGATGTTTCAACATTTTGTGTTATTTCACCATTAAGAGAAATGCTAGGCTTTACAACTGCTTTTCCTCCTTCTGCTTCTATTTTATTATTACTAGATGGATCAGCCCGGAGGCTAACTACATTTGTAGCAATATTTTTGTCTACCATTTTGATATCTACTCTTTTAGATGAATTATCTATTCCTGAAGTAATCATTTGCTGTTCTAGTGCATGGATTGTTCTATTTATCCTTGGCATTAGTGAGATAGATGCAGTCTGTTTTCCTGTCTGTATATTCAGTCCTGATGATCTTAACCCATTTTCCGGTTGCTTTGTGTTTAGTATAAATTGTGGTAGTAATTGTTTTGGCCATAGTTGAATATTTAACATACTTTTTATTTGTTGTTCAAATGCGGGTTTAATTGTTACATTATGCTGAGATTGCATAGCTGCAGTAAACTTAAATGTTTTTGTGTTCCTCTCACTTTCAGGACTTATAATTTCAAAAGTAATGGGTTGAGGAATTGTGATATTAGGTTTAAATTCTGTATGTTTGGGCATATTGGTATATTCGGGTATAGTAAATAAGTATTGTTTTAATGTTGTATATTCTTTATTGTTCCGATTAATTGGCCCTCTTTGGTCTGACATGTTTATAAACCATTGGGATGGGTTGGGTATATTCATGTTCCCTTGTGGGTTAAGAATTTTCATAGACCCTTGTGGACTGTTGGACATATTCATTGTTCCTTGTGGACTAGGCATTTTCATAGACCCTGATAGGTTAGTTATATTCATGGACCCTTGTGGTTTAGGAAATTTCATGGACCCTCTGAGATTAGGAGTATTAATGGACGCTCGAGAGCTAGTGACTTTCATGAGCATTTGTTGGTTAGGTATAGGCCATCGTGTACTAAGAACTTTCATTGACCCTTGTGTATTAGGGAGATTCGTGGATCCTTGTGGACTAGGGATTTCAAAGAGCACTTGTATAGAAGGGATGTTCATGGGCCAGTGTGGATTTATTTTTTTTTTGTCCATCGGCTCTGTAGGTCTTATATCACAAAGCTCACTTGTTTTTGCATTACCAGGTTTAGTTGTATTAAAATCACCAATTCCAGTTGTAGTTGTTCCGGGATTACAATTTTCAGTTTGTTCTGTATTATAAATTTCAGTTGTTTTTGTGTTTCCATATCCATTTGGCTCTGTGTTGCAAAGTTCAGTTGTTCCTAAATTACCATTCTCAGTTTTTTCTGTATTACAATTTTCAGTTGGACTTGAGTTACCAGATCTGATTGGCTCTGGACTACAATTTTCAGTTGTACTTGAGTTGCTAGATTCAATTGGCTCCGGACTACAAATTTCAGTTGGTCTTAAGGTTCCAGGTGCAATTGGCTCCGGGCTACAAATTTCAGTTGGTCTTAAGTCACCAGATTTGGTTGTTTCTGTATTACAAAGATCAGTTGGTCCTAGCTTATTAGATTCCGTTGGTCTTGATCTAAAGTGTTCTGTTGGTCTTGGGCTACCACGTTGATTTGTTCTTGTACTACAATGAGCTCCATTGTTTAGCCAACGGCGTTCAGTTGTACTAAAGCATTCAGTCAAATTATGGTGTTGTGTTGGTGAGTTAATGGATGGATATACCCCCTTTTCTGGAATCGGAAACAGAAAGTCTAATTTTACACTGTTATTCGACTTTTGCTCTTTTCCAGTAATATTTTCTACAAGATGGACTAAAAGGTCTGATCTTAATTCTTCGGGACTTATTCCAGGCTGCAGAATTTCTCTCTGCAAACCGGATATTTTTATTTTTCTATATTTTTCTGGAATCAATCGTTTTCGAGGTTTTATATTTTTATAATGCAAACTGTTCTTTGAATATTCACTTTCTGGTGGTACAAACACATCATCTTGAGCATTTTTTAACTCTGGAAAATCGAGGTATTCTCCTTCTGTTTTTTCGGTTTCAGTTAAATCATCTTCTGGAAGGATGTATTCAGGTATGTAACCGGTCATATAAAGGGAATCTAGCAACTCTTGCAGATCTCTGGGTACACTTGGTTTTGAAGTTGACTCTGTCCATAAGCTTTCACATCTGATTACTGCCAACATAAATAAAAATATTTGTATTAATGTATAAACTTTGACAAAAATTATTTTTAACATTCTTATACACTTGCATAGAACCTTTCACTTTTTGAACTTATTAGTTTTTCATAGAAGATGGCAATTCAAACTAAACAAACAATATTGTCAAACTAGTTTTAGCTACATAGTCACCCTGAGCATATTATACTGAATTTCTATCTACTAGTTTTATTTTCAAAATAGTTATTTTGATCAATGTAAATTTAATGGGATTGTTCTGTAACTCAAGATAGTCTGAGAGGAATATTCAATATATTAGAATTACTTGGAGAATGCTTTCAGACTGCATTAGTTTATAGATTTATAATGGATATCAGAAAAATCTATACAATAATCTATATGAGAATAAGTTTAAGTTGAGAATGAATTAAATTGTGATTACTTCAGAGCTTAGCTATTCCAATTTAATGGATTGTCATATATTTTTGCTTTTAATTTAGTTTTAACTTTATATTATTAGAGTGCTACCATTGAGTAGTTATTCAACAAGTGTTTTCACGTCATTATATCCATATGTTCAAATTTACTACATGTATTTCTTTAATACAGTTGTAAATATCATTAAGAAATAATAAAAAAAAAACTTTATATTAAACCATTTACAAAATATATTGAAGCACCGAAAATACTAAAATAGTTTCATTTTTGGTCTCTCACTGCCAAAGGTAGAGATTTGTATTCTGGAGGAGGTTAAAAAAATGTTAGCTCAGAATCAAAAATTCTCATCCTTGTTTTTTGTTTTTAATATCAACTTAAAAATTTGGTTCTGCCTCTGTATATAGTCAAATCCATGTATGACCTATCCATGTAGGACCTATCACTTACAACTGTTAATCCAATTTGGATACAATTTATAGAGATTGTGCAGGTTAGGTACATAGGTGGTCCTATTTATATTTCATCCACTACTTCCTCTTCTGGGGGTGCAAATGAATTATAATATGCCTATGTATCAAAAGGTAGTGGGGTAGCTCTGTCGTAGGGTATTGAGCTTTCAATGCTAAAGGTCCCAGGTTCAAACCTCGGCT